AGCATCCCATTTGTTATGTCTTAAAAGCGCTTAGGGCTTCGTAAGCCGTCAAAAAGTCCTATCCCCAGGTGACCCCGCCATTTTTGTGGTCGGATGTGGCCCGAAAGCCCCTTCCCCGTCCTTTGGCTATGCCACAGGGCACGACAATAATTGTGTATCGAGAACTGCCGCCAGCTTCTCACCTATGAATTAGGATTCACAGACGCGTTCAGATTGAAGAAAAACGGGGGAATATCATCAGCGATATACACACAAACCTAGATTTTAAAATCATTGTTAAAACACAGTGATGATTGCGGTGTTCTAAGGTTAGTGTGTCTACCCTAAAAGTGTTTTGGTGATTGCACAGTCGCAACAAAGCACCGGGAACTTTTCCCTCACTGCGCGAGACCGCCGCATGTCTTCAAAGCGGCAACCCTCGTATCGAGCGTGCTGCATAGCTTACTGCTGTCCAGAACCACACCTCAACAGCTCTATGTCCCTCCACAACGGCCTACAGAGTCTGCGGTAATGTTTTTAGCGGTTTGTTTTCAAAGACATTTCACCGGATGAAAGGATTTGTAAGCTGCCAGATTCGGCGTGATTCAAAAGGTGAAAGATGTTCCACGCTTATATGATGGAGACAAACTAAGGCCGTATATATCATATAATAGTAATCAGCAAAAACCAGGCCAATGCAGTCATTGCACAGGCCAGAGTCAATAATATGGGACAGGACACCAAGTAGTGAGGGGGTGATTCAGGATTATAGGACCCTTTTGGCCACTCTGCAGCAAGGCGAAGGTAGGAAGATAGTAACAGGCATTCTTCACAAGATTGGAGCACCTCCTGAGTGGAGCTCCAGGGCGCTGGCAGCAGACGCTAGAATAAGAAAACTTTGCGGAAAGCTGGTCGCGACGCTTATAGACGCGTGAAATAGGTTTTTCAATTGTAGGGTGTATGAACGTATCCTTCAGGGAAACTGGCTCCTGGGGTTGGGAGGGTGAAATTAGAACACATAAATAATGATAATTCAAAATTGCTGAACAATGAGCCAAAAAGGAGTGCAGGAGAACTCACGTGCTTCTATGCAAATGCAAGAAGCATCAGAAAAATGTTTTGGCGAGCTCCATACTCACGTGCTTGAAGAAAAATTTGACCTGGTACCTTTCATTGAATGTTGGATCAGTGAGCAGCTTTTAAGAGGCAGTTTATATGAATTTAAAGTATCTGGTTACAGTATGTTAACTTTTCACGGAAAAGTGAAAAAGGAGGTGAGATATTAGAATACGTAAGGCAGAAAATAAAGTGAAATTGAAGAAAGCATGAAGAACGGCAATAGTTAAGAATTCCTCTGGGCGGATTCGGTTGTGTCGAAGGACAAGTTACAAACTGGAACTTTTTATAGGTCCCCGAATGGTTTGCAAGATCTGTACACAGAAATATATGGAGGAACTGACAGAGGCGTGAATGCAAGTGTGTAGTGCTGGGAGGTCTCAACATCCCAGGCTGGAGTGTAGATTTTGACCAATTGTCAAATTGGTGACAAAAATATCTTCGCTTGTTTGAAGAAAATTTTCTTCAGCAGATGGTGTACGAACCCACTACGGGACATTACTTTTTGGATCTTGTTATGACTATGAGGGAGTTGGTCGATGCTTGGAGAGTGGGTGGGACGCTGGGACATAATAACTATAATATCGTAAGGTTCTCAATGTGTCTGGGTTATTCAGGTGAGGACAATCTTAGTCTTATTCCGAATTTTGCTGAGGGTAGATTGTAAAAACTTACAGCTTTTCTCGCTAGCATCCAGTGGGAAAATATTATAACCGGTCTCATTGTAGATCAAGTAAGGAAAGCGTTCAAAGATAGTTTATTTGAAGGACAGGAAAGGTTCATCGCCTTTAGGAAAATGCGAGAAGATAGTTCTGGGAAGCCCCCATGTCTGACACAGACATTGCGCAAATTGATGGCGGTGAAGAAGGAGGCATCTCATATGCAAAACGTGCAGGACACAGAAAACAACAACGCTGTGCGTGATGTTGCAATAGAAAAGCTTAGGCAGGAAATCAGAGCAGCTAAAAGATTGTCAGAAGTAAGGCTAGCAGACAGTTGTTCTAGCGATGTAAAGATCTTTTTTTAGTTAGTACAAATCAAATCTAAGAGTTTCTCTGTCGGCCCCCTCGAGAAAGATGGGAAGTCTTCAGTGGAGGATAAGGACGTTGTAGATGCTCTCAGTAGGCAGATTTGTGCAGTTTTTACAATGGAGACTATGTGTGATCTCCCTGAAAAGCCAAAATCTGATTGAAGGCAGTCTTGTAGATTTGACGGTGACTGAGGGTGTGGTGAGGGAGAGCTTGAAGGAAATCAAGGTTAGGAAGGCGACCGGGCCCGATCAATTACATGGTAGTGTTGAATGAATGCACTGGTGCTGTAGCTTATCCTCTCATGTTTATATTTGATGCATCCTTGTTTCTGAGAAGTACCCGACGGCTGGCACAATGCCAATATAGTACCCATTTTTAAGAAGGAAACCCAAAAAACTGTTAATATCTTCAGGCTTGTGAGTCTAAACTCACTAGTATGTAAGATCTTAGCCAATTCATTAAGGCATTCAGTCACACTTAGAAAAAAATCATCCGTTGATAAATAGCATATATATATATATATATATATATATATATATATATATATATATGTATATATATAGATATATACATATATATATATATTATTATGTAAAGATCTTTCTGGGAAACGACAACAATGCATAGATGCCGTAGAATTAGTTTTGAGGATGTGCACGGAGCCTGATGTAGATCAACCTCAATGGGCTCTTGTGGCTCATTGTCGGCCAGATGTCGTAATGTCGGTCTTCATGCCCTCAATGGGCTATAATATATATACATATATATATAGCCCTCAATGGCTATATATATATGTATATATATATACATATATATATATATTGTATATATATCTATATGTATAAATATCATATCATTATATATCTATATATATATATAATATTATATATGTATATATAGATATATATATATAATATATATGTACACATATATATATATACATAATATATATCTCTTTTTACCTACGACTATATATATATATATATATATATATAGATAAATAGCAGATAAATAGTAGAGCTATGAAGAGGCAGATGTCATTTAGTAAAAAAACTGAACCATTGGGATTGTTGACAAACGAAGTTGTAAGAAGTCCTTCTCTAGCAACATTCCAAACCGTTTGGACAAGTCCTATCGTCTAAAGATCTTATTTGCAGCTAATTTATGCAGGCTAGTTGGTAAAATTAGTTTTGAGGATGTGCACGGAGCCTGATGTAGATCACCCTCAATGGGCTCTTGTGGCTCATTGTCGGCCAGATGTCGTAATGTCGGTCTTCATGACATGGTCCAGATATCATTCTAGCTGCTACTTGTGTTCCAAAATACAGCTGTTTAATTCTGGGAAACGACAACAATGCATAGATGCCGTAGAAGTTATCTGTAGTATACACGTGCATTCCTCTCCTGCATGCTGTATAATCCTGGTCTTTCAAAGTTGTCGCGGCTAGGCTGATCAGCATCATAGAATGTTGCATTCCCTACGTCACAGTAACCTGGCATGTGGTTTACACCCGATTCATGTTTACGTCACATGGATCATCTTTGATCTGTAAACCTCAAGTATTGCCGTAAGTATTACTGTTCGTGCACATAAGCACGAATCTGCGCGCTGCCTTCCTATCGGGGCATGCGTCCCCGAGTTAGGTCTTAACAAAGCCCGAGTGAGGGCCAGGTCGAATGGTGGGCCCTCCACGGGTCATCTAGCAGCGAGGCACTGGAGAAGAGAGAGAGAGAGAGAGAGAGAGAGAGAGAGAGAGAGAGAGAGAGAGAGAGAGAGAGAGAGAGAGAGAGAGAGAGGAGAGAGAGAGAGAGAGAGAGAGAGAGGAGAGGAGAGAGAGAGAGAGAGAGGAGATAGAGAGAGAGAGAGAGAGAGAGAGAGAGAGAGAGAGAGAGAGAGAGAGAAGAGAGAGAGATAGAGAGAGAGAGCATTCGCAGGAGCCAACCCAGCCCCTTCGTTGGTACAGAGGTGGGGAACTCCTGGCACCCCGTCGGCGCCGCCACGGTGCTCTTTCCGGCCCCAGGCGGTGCGGTCTCGGCGACATTCAGGCGCCCAGCACCCGGCCCTCTGCCGGGAGAGAGGGAGCATGTTGACGCATCTGGCGTCGCTCCCGCCCCCCGGCCAGCGGGCGGCAGAGCGGCGGAGCGGCAGGGCGCCGGGGCGCCTCGAGCCGTCCCGTCCGGCTCACACGCCGCCCGGGCGACCGGGCGGCGCATCGCGCAGCCGACGGCTCGGTGACGTCCGCGAACCAACGGCCGCTGTGCGCCGAGCCGCACAGCCATGTCCCAAAAAGCGGCCGCACTTGTAGGGCGGCGTGTGACTACTGGCCACCTGTACGGCGCGACGCGGCGGCCGACGGCGGCCGGCGCGGCGCGGCCGCCGGTCGCTCAGCAGGCGGCACGGCGGCCCGACGATGCAAAAAACAGACGCGCGTGCGGGCGACTCGCAGCGAGCGTTTGGGTCTCGTGAGCGCTGATCACCTGCTGTGCGGCATGACGAGTGCCCGTGAGGCGAGCGCGTATTTCTGGCGGCGGCGCTATTTTTGGTGGCGGCCTGCGGTGGCGACACGGTCTGGGCGCGCCGGCTGCCGCCAGTGCGCCACGGTGGCGGCGCGGTGACGCGGCCGAGCCCGACGGACGGGCGCCGCGCGGCCGTCGCAGATTTGTCACGTGGAGCGCTAGCTCGCGGCACCGTCGCCGGAGCGACTGGAGGAATAGGCAAATACGGTGCCCGGTGCGACCAATCAATTGTGCGGCGCGGCAACGGCCGTCGGCGCGGTCCGACCGGCCGGCGGACGGCGCGTCGGCGTCGGCGTCGGCGTCGGCGCGCCGGCGCGGCGCGCGCCGGCAGTATTAGGCGACCGTTCGGCGCGGCAGGCGAGCGCGCCTCGGCGGCGGCGGTGTGAGGGCTGCGCGCGAACATGTAGGCGGGCGACGCGCGTTGCGACACGGTGGTCGAGCTAGGCGAGCACGATGGCTTCGGTGGCGGCGTGGCTGCCGTTTCGCGCGCGCGGCGGCCATAGGGTGGGTCCCGATCGCCAACAACCCGTTGCCGGCGCCGCCCATCCCCAAGGACAAGCGGCGCGCGGACGACGAGAAGCTCGTCATCAACGTGTCGGGCCGACGTTCGAGACATGGCGTAACACGGTGGAGAAGTACCCCGATACGCTGCTCGGTTTAACGAGCGCGACTTCTTCTACGACGAGGACACGAAGGAGTACTTCTTCGACCGAGACCCGGACATCTTCCGGCACATCCTTAACTATTACCGGACTGGTAAGCTTCACTACCCGAAGCACGAGTGCTTGACGAGCTACGACGAGGAGCTCTCGTTCTTCGGCATCATCCCGGACGTGATCGGTGACTGTTGCTATGAGGACTACCGCGACCGCAAGCGCGAGAACGCCGAGCGCCTGCTGGACGACAAGATGTCCGAGAACGGCGAGGGTAACCTCGTCAAGCTGACCAACCTGCGCGAAAAGATGTGGCGCGCGTTCGAGAACCCGCACACGTCGACAGCGGCGCTCGTTTTTTATTACGTCACGGGGTTCTTCATCGCCGTGTCAGTGCTGGCCAACGTGGTGGAAACGGTCGAGTGCGGGAACCTACCGGGCAAGAAGGAGCCGTTGCCTTGCGGCGAGCGGTACGAGGTGGTGTTCTTCTGCCTGGACACGGCGTGCGTGATGATCTTCACCGCCGAGTATTTGCTGAGGTTGTTCGCTGCGCCCGACCGCTGCAAGTTTGTGCGCAGCGTGATGAGCATCATCGATGTGGTGGCCATTCTGCCGTACTACATCGGCCTGGGCATCACGGACAACGACGACGTATCGGGCGCATTCGTCACGCTGCGGGTGTTCCGCGTCTGTCGGATCTTCAAGTTCTCGCGACATTCCCAGGGCCTCCGCATCCTTGGGTACACCCTCAAATCCTGCGCCAAAGAGCTCGGGTTCCTCGTTTTCTCACTAGCCATGGCCATTATCATTTTCGCCACGGTAATGTTCTATGCGGAGAAGAAGGTGAAGGGATCAACGTTCACGTCCATCCCGGCATCGTTCTGGTATACTATCGTCACAATGACTACGCTAGGGTGAGTACACTGCTGTTTGCTCACTTCTGTATGTGTTCGTGTCCTTTTTACAGACAGGCGTTTCTACCCAGCGAGCCCTTTTGGCTGACTAGCTCATGTTTACATGGGTGAAAGACATTCGAACATGACCAGTTGGTTGTACCACGCTTACTTGCTCTGCATGCTTTGGAATGTTAGTCCTGTCCCGTTAAGTGGGTATGGGAGCAACGACCGGCCTGCTGTTGAACACACTTTTGGATGTCATTCTCTTTTCTCAGCCCTCGGCACCATCCCCGCTGCGCCAAGGGTATGCAAGTCAAAGTGACCCCTGTAGCCAATCTGTAACATTTATGGGTGGCTGCTGGACTTCTCCGCTCGTACATTCTTATAGGATGTCTTCAGTGGGAATCCACTATGACAGTTTGTCGACTGATGTCCTCCGAGGAAAACCATCCAATCTGCGAGATCCCAACTTCTTGAACAACTATAGTCAAACATGTCAGCGGATGGATATCATTTCAGCTATCCACATTTGTGAAAAAACATCACGTCAGCAGCTCAGGGAAGACTGAAAACCGTTCTGCGGTCTGTGAGAAAACACGTCCGAGAGCAATTGCGCCACGAAACTAACCGAACTGAACACCACCAATTCCGCATAAGTTTAATTGCGGTAAATATATGGTTACATTGCCCACTGCTACCCGATGCTGGAGTCGAAGCCCGGTGTTCGTACCGCGCCTGGTTCCGAAAGTTCTCCGTCGTGTCGCTGGCTCCGGTTCAGCCGACTCAGTTTCACAGTGTGATCACACTGAAGCGTGCCCGATCTTTCCCGCCACAGCACCTACGCCGACCAAACTGAAAGCGAAATTGCGCTTTCAATTTCCATCACAGCACGCAGTCTATTTTAAAACGCCGAAGCCGCGGACTGCTCCTGGTTCGAAGGTTCTAAATGTGCACAGAATAGCTCGTCAGAATGATTGCAGCGATGCATTTCCGCGATTGAAGAATAGACGGTGGGCAGTGTTGATGGTCTGAGTGGACAGCACTGTCTGCCAGACTAAACTCTGCCGTGCAGCCCAGGGCTATCTCGTCCGCTGTCGTCTGGATTGACAGGAAAGCTAATGGGAAGTGGCGTTTACCTGGACTACAAAGCGCGCGTCCTTGGGACGTGGAAGTATGCAGATGTTGTGTGTTCATACGTGACATCGTAATCCATCGTCAAGGTGTTCATACCAATCCCGCTTCAGCCTCCAATGGCCCATGGCTCCAGCAATCTGAATCATGATATGAATGCATCTAGCTCTGGGGGTCAAGTTTACAGCTTGCGTAGTGAGCAAGGCCGCAAATCTCGAAAAAAAAACTCATTAACATTCGACATCAGGCCAATGTGAGCTCCGAAAAGTGAACTGTTAACAAGGTATTTTAACTCCACCATCCTATTCTATCCCTGCTATATACCAAGGCACTTCATCACTGCATTGTCCTACGCCGCACCTGTGTACAGCATGTCAGGAAGGTAGATGAATGATCGAGAAATTGTGGCATCATACTGCAGACCGAAGACCATCAGGTCAAGTCCTTCTCGAAGGAAGCTTCCTTGGTCACCATTTCCAGCAGGGTGGGCGATGCTCCAAGTCGTTTCATGTATTTACTCGGTAAATAGTAACAATGATGAACAGCCTTGCGTAAAAATGGGTCATTGGGCACGGGGCTATAATGGCGTTGTCTTAATTGTGTAAACAGATATAGTGAAGAAATGCAGTGACTGCCACAGCGAGATATACGGTACTTCAGGCGCTCGTCAACAGAGCTGTAAGCTTCTGTTTCTAAATGCAAAAAAATGTTCGTTTTCAGAGGCCAGATGTTAAGTGCCCTTCGCATAGTACATCACAGATGCACGGATTACCACCTAATTGCACTAGGCGACATAGGGGATGGCATCTTTCTTTTCTTTTTGCTGACTATTTGTATCATCGCTATGCTTTTGAGACCATCTTAAAGCACACTGCATTCGTTTTTTTAGTAACTGATTCCTCAGGAGTGTGTGAATCAATATTGCGCAAGTTGAAAGGAGCCGTCGGTAATTCATTTGGTACATTGGTTTGCAGTTGTTCGCGCTTAATAAATGTCATGGGGGACTTAGTGCCTTTGTTGGGCTTGCAAGGCACTGGCGTACTTGCCCGGTCAGCCTAAATATTTGAACGGCTTCTCTTGCTGTCTGCTTATTTTGAATTCCGTACTTAAGGAGAGTATTCCACGTTTGTACCAGGTTTTGAACTGAAATATCCATCTTGAAGACCGTTCGGCGCAATTCACAGCCCTGCCGTTTTTATGGCATAAGCTCTCTAGTATCTGAGGTACGCGCCCGTAGAAATACGAATAATTTTTCGGGGAAGTGTTTCAAGGTCATTTTGGTATTCATGACGTCATAAAAACGTCCATCAAACCATGCCATTCCATAAGCCATACAACGGTCAAGGCCAAGAAAAATGCAATGGTCGAACCACTCATATCTAGCATTAGTGCGCACAAATTCCAGATATAACTGCGGTCAATTGGCTCCCAATCAATATTGTGTTAGGTGCGATGACGTAATCAAACATCGATGTATCAAGAACCACATTTACGTAAAAGGGACATTGTGTTGTCTGGAGCAGCCTTTTCGACCTAAATGTATACAAATGTTTATAAGTCTGCTTGTTTCATCTTATCTCATGTTTCCTTCAATATCTTTAAATATGAAACATTCCCTCTACATGTGGGTTGGGTGTTCGGACCATTTCAGTCTCCATGACCCAACGCACAGTTCCATCAATGCGGTTACCATGGCAACCGTCCTCAAAGCTGACTGAGCTGCGGCGCCGGTTGCGTCGAACGCCGCTGGCCTCGGCGATACGATTGTGACGGGCCTGGCTTTGGATTAACAGAGCTGCGACATCCGCAGCATTTCTGATAAATTGCTCTGCTGACGAGTCGATGATGAGATGTCAGCGTCAGATCAGGGCTCCGTTTGCGCCGAAACAAGATGTTAAATGGAGCAGCGATACATTTGAGTGAGCAGACTATGCGCATTAATGTCATATTTGGATGTTCAGTTTTGTAGCGGATTCTACATTAGATTAGGTTGGCTCTAAGTGACATATAACCGACGCATATCTCTCTCTACCCAATGTGATTTACTGTCTTAATGATTCGTCTCAAGTGCAGACTGACGAGAAATCTGTATCTCACACAAATGCCTTTATCCAATTTCAGCCACTGCTGTAGCTTCGGACCAGCATCCACAGCAAGCGTCCGGCGAGGTCACTTTTTGCGTGGTGCCGCCTTAGCAAATACCTTCAAAGGTCACATGTGCTGACGTAACACAACGAAACGCGGTCTTTCAGACCCGCCCCTGGGCACCGCCGGCAGACCCTGAAGTCAGCCCCGTGTAAAACCATGATTACCACGGTCGGCTGGCACCGAGCGTGCGCCGGCGTCCGTGGAACGCGCACGGAGAGGCCTTCATTTGATGTGACCCGGGGCGTGCCCCCGGGCCGGAGCCGGCCTCGGGAGAGATGGCCGCCCGAAGCCATGCTGACGTCAGCACCGTCGGCTCCCGGCTGAAGGGAGGAGACGCTGTCCCGCGGAGCTGAGGTCGTCACCGAGCCGCTGCGGGGCTCGAAGGAAGGTGCGGCTCGGTGGTGCTCAAACCTCAAGGCTTCAAAGTTATGAGATTCAAAGCTCCGTATTCTGGACTGAAAGCGCGAAAGATGTATCCAGTATATTCGTTGCGTGATGGAAATCTAGCGTTTGCTCCGCAATGATTTTGTGACCTTTGTTTTGTCTTACAATATAGCTTTATGCATATAGATATACACATCTCCCTCCCTCTCTCTATACATCCAATTATTCATAGCTCT